GGGATGGGAGTGTCAGAGACAGTGCGATTGGCACAGGACAGAGCAGAGTTTAGGGCTGTTGTACATAGGGTCGCTATGAGTCACAAGTGACTCTATGGCACATAACAACAACAGTTAAAATATGAACAATTTAATTTCAGTAATATACACTCTGTATATGAGATAACTTGTGGTCGCAGTGAAGCTGAACAGTATAACACTGATTTGTCAAATGCAATAACCCATGGTGGACAGTGTTTGGTGTCGCTCCCCGGTTTAAATAAGCTTGGAAGCAGGAGTGGCATCCATTTCCGTAAATAGCTTGCCTGCAGAAACCCTGCACACGCAGGTGTTGAAGACTTTCGTTCATGTGGTCATTATGCGTCGCCTACGACTTGAGCGCACTCAACTACAACAGCAACATAGTTCTATGTTTTCATATATTTTCATATACTGATTAGTAAAATTTGCTTATAACTACTCCTTATGTGTATATGCCTTTTAGACCATATATTCTTGTTGTTGTTATGTGCCGTCAAGTCAGAATTAACTCATAGCTGAACCTCGAGTGAGCTCTCAGAGGCGTAAATCAAACAAAATGAGATTGTCTGTCTTTCTCTCATGGAGCAGCTGAGGCATTTGAACCATTTGCCTTTTGGCTGACAGAGCAACTCCTTTGACCCTAGACCACCAGGGTTTCTTTCATACAGGAAAAGGTAAAGTAATCAAAAGTATAAAAATACTGGATTTTATAGTTATCTGTGAATATAAGAAGGGTTTCTTTACTATTCTTTTTCTTATGACTAAGTTACTACTTAGTGTTATTTCAGCCTTTCAGATTCCATTATCATGTGTGATAATAAACTCCCTCAGTTTTAATTTCTGTGGAAATGTTTTAATTTCTTCATTTTTTTGATAACTTTGCTGAATATTGAATATTTGATTCACACTTTTTTTTAATTGCTGTGTACTGTCAAATCGGATCCAGCTGACACTGGAGGAGATTGCCCCTCTTTTTCCAGCATAGCATCTGGTTGATTTGAACTGTGTGCCTTCAGGATTGCAGCACAGCTTCTGACAATTTTTTTTTCTTTTAGTATTAAATATGCTTTCTAAGGGGGCTGTGGTAGCTTTTAATGGTAAGAAGTTGCACTGCCAACTCAGAGGCAGGCGGTTTGACTCCACTAGTTGCTTTGTAGGAGAAAGATGAGCATTCTCCTCCCATGTGATTTACAACTTCTGAAAACCCACTAGAGGGTCAGCTCTGAGTTGGCTCTGACTTGACGATGTTGCTTTCTGCCCTTCATGATTTCTATGGAGAAATCAAATGTAATCTTATTGAGGACATCTTGTGTGTAATAAGCCACTTCTCATATTATTTCAAAAGTCACTCGTTGACTATGTTTTTGGCAGTTTGATGATAATGTGTCTCAGTGTGGATTTCTTTGTGTTTATATTGTTTGGAGTTTGTTGAGCTGCTTGCATGTTCATTGCTTTTATAAGATCTGAGATGTTTGCAGTTACTGTTTTGTCAAGTTGGTTTTTTCCCCCTCATCCCTCCTACCTTCAGTCTTCTCTTTCTAGGGTTCCTGTGCTGCATGCTCACCATTGGTTGCTCATCACTGCTTGTTAATCACTGCTTGTTATTGCTAAGAACCAACATAGGCACTGGACATTATTTCAGCCTGTGATTCAGCAGATTCCTGGATATGTGTGTTATTTTGGTATAATTGATGGGCTTCTACATGTTCCTCAGGCTCTGTTCATTGGTGTCACGAGTTTACTTAGGTCTTTGCCCATGAACTCCTTTAGTGAGTTGAATATATCAAGACAGCTTGTTTAATGTCATCGACGTAATTTCAGGAACTGGGCTTACTTAGGGATGTTTTGTGCTAAGTTCTTTTCCTTGTTAATGGGCCAAACATTTCTTTTTCTTTGTATACTTAGCAGTTTTGTTTTGTTGGTTTTTTTGTTTGTTTGTTTGTTTGTGGTGGGTTTTTTTTGTATGCTCTGCAGTTTTTTTTATTGAGAACTAGATATTATCACCATTCTGCCATGATAAGTCTGGAAGTGTAATTTTCCTGCTCCTCAGAAACTGAGTTTTTCCTTGTTGAAGACTAATACTTTCCGTTTTTTAATTTTTAGAAGTATGTTTTTGCAAAGATTATTCCTTATATGTATAGATACTAAAGTTTCTCTTATCTTTGTGATTCCCAGTGACTTACCTACTAGGGATTTTTTTTTATATGAGGTATTTTTTAAATTCTCTCAACAGTGGCTACCTGGGAAGCCATGATGGTTGCAAAAATATCCAGCCAGTCTCAGTGTCATTGTGGCAACTGTCAAAAGCAGTAATTGACGACCAAAATACAAACCCCTGTGTGTTTTTGAAGGCAGAGTCCTTGCTGCCTACTCTTGCAGCATACCTCAACTGAAATGCAGGTTACAGTCACTGTAGCTGTGTGCTGTGGGTCTGGGGAATTGTAGTCCCTGTTCAGAATGTCAGAATTTACAAAAATTTATGTGCCTCTTCCTCAGGCTTTTCCAGGGTTGCTATAAACGTTCTATTAGATTCCAGAGCTCCAAAATAAATGAGTCAAACAGCTTCTGCCAGATAAGTAGGTGTTTAGAGGGACTGATTTATGGAGTTTCCTACCCTGTTATCTTCTGCTATTCTCATAGGGCCCTTTTAACTCTTTTGTAGGAGAAACCATGAAAAATGTGAAAAAACTGGTGTGGACAAATGAGTTTATGGATGATTTCTTACTTTTTTAAAAATCCATTTCTATATTTCTACAAAAGCGCACATATTTCATAACTTTTTTTAACTTAAAAATAGAAAGTATCCTTAAGATCCTCCAAGTAATAGCCCTTCTTTTCCATTTGTTGCAGGTGGTGCGGTTGTGTCAGAGCCCAAAGCTGGCGCTAAAGAATAGCCCACCTTATATCTTAGACCTGCTGCCAGATACCTACCAACATCTCCGCACTATCTTGTCAAGATATGAGGGGAAGATGGAGACACTTGGAGAAAATGAGTATTTTAGGGTGTTCATGGAGAATTTGATGAAGAAAACTAAGCAGACCATAAGCCTCTTCAAGGAAGGGAAAGAAAGAATGTATGAGGAGAATTCTCAGCCTAGGTAATGGAGAATACTACACAAATATTAATTCAGGTCTGTGACTACCTGAATGGGTAATGCATAGAAGTAGTTGCATCTGTTTGCATTACATGATAAAAGTTAACTCATTGCCATCAAGTCAGAACTGACTCATAGGTGACCCTTTAGTGGGTTTTCAAAGACTATAAATCACACAGGAGGAAATACCACATGCTTCTCCTATGGAGCAACTGGTGGATTTGAACTGCCTGCCATTGAGTTGGCAGCACATCTGCCTACCCACTAGCTACCTGGGCTCTTAAAAAGAATAGAAAATGACATTTGACTTAGGGGTATGTTTTATGTAAAAGATTGTCTTGGAGGTCACTGTACCATTCCTGGTTTTGAGAAATATATTTACCTCTGGGTATGGTTTGGAGTCATTCACACTTTGGAGAGCCTAAAGATCATGAAAGTGTTGATAGATGGGGTTGGAAGAAAGAAGGTTAGAGTTAAGCCAAATTTGGGAATTAGTTTAAAAAAAAAGGTCAAATTTTGCCAGAAGCTGTAACATACTAGATAAGTTATAGGTATGCCATAGAATAAGTTTTGGGATTTTTTAGAAAGAACTTTTTTAAATACAATGAAATAAAAATTTATTTATTTTTCTATGTTATTATGAGTGTACTGAAAATGGTGTATTCTTTATTACTGATGACTTGCCCTTGGCAAGCTTATGTTAATGTAAAATGGCATTACATTCTGAGAGATTCACTTCTGAAAACTGTGAAATACAACTCTACTTTTACACACCTGGGGTCACTATGAGTTGGCATTGACTCTATGGCAACTGATTTGGTTTGGTTGTAGTTACATTGTAATGGTTGAAAAGATGGGTTCTGAAATTAACTTCCCAACTTTGAATCCTAGCTTTGCTTATGGGATCCCTTATTTACCTCACCAATAAAGTAATGGTAGCACTTTATGTAACCCTGGTGCTTATTTAATTCTGTAAAGATTAAAAAACTCATTGCTGTTGAGTTAGAACTGATTCTTACCTGACCCTCCAGTGGGATTTCAGACACTTTAAATCACTTAGGAGGAGATTGCCCTACTTTCTTCTTTGGAATCTCTATTGTGTTCTGTCAGCCAGAGAGATGCCAATTTTGGATTAGCAATGCAACTCCTCAGGGACTACACCACCAGAGCAGGTAAAGGAAATCCTGTGTGGTGGCCCTACCCTGTTATTACCCATCTTCTTTATGAGGTGGTTGGGAATTACTAAGTGACTAAATTAACATTTAGTACTTAAAATTAACATTTTGAAATTGGTAGGTGGATTAGTCCTTGCTATCTTAACCATCATGAATGTTATTACTGTAAGCATAAGTTATATCAGTTTGTATATGTTATATATCCAGGATTCAGTAAGTATATACAGTGTATTTATTTTTTATATAAATAACATACTTGTTACATGGTGTTCTTTGTTTTGCTTTGTCAACTGTATACCTCTGAGAGGTATTTTTGTAGGTGTGCTATGCTGATTTTTTTCACATGTTGCTGTAAAAATTAGCATAATACTTTTATGCAGATACTTCATCAAGGGGGAGGGCAAAGGTAGTGTAGTAAGACAGTGACCTTTTCTAGTTTTATAAGAGGGAGAGAGAATTACCATCAGCATCAACAACTCAAGGCTGATAGCTGTGAGATGGAGGTCAGACATTCCTTCATCTTCTCTTTTTAACAATTCTGACACCAGGTGTCTGCTTCTCTGGTGGGTTTGATAATTTGTTTCAGTAGACAGTAGAACTTTCAGACTAAGGAGTTAGGAGGTTTTCTTAGAGGAGTAATAGATTGAGATCCAGGACCAGGAATAATTTAGGATAAAATTCTTCATTTGGGACAGCTTCTCAGCTGTGCCCACAGGCAGGCCTCTTCATGACCCTATTCAACTCCAGGCCCTTGAGGCTTATAGGGCAGGGCCAGCCCCTGCACTGGGTTAGCAGGTATTATAAAGCTCCTTAACACCACCAGCAAGTGTCTAGAGGCACTCTACTTCTCCAGCAAGCCTCCTGCTCCAAGGTCTACAGCTATTTGTGGGTCTGGATCTTGTTGTGCCATCACCTTCCAGTTTCCTGGTGCCTCTGCTGTACATTTCTCACATCTCTAGTATTACCACTCAGTCTTCTGGATCTAGGTGACTCTGCACAGGGATTCTAGATCTTTGGACCATGATCTACTTCTGCCTCTTCATTCTTGGTAATAATGAGGTTTTCCTTTTCTACCTCTGGGACAGTTCGTTTTATTTTGGCTTAGTGGAATGGTTAAGCACATTAATCCCTTTTTTAGGGTTCCTTACATCATATTCTAAGGTGTGCCTGATCCAGGTCATAGTCTTACCTATGTGTCAGAAAGCTGGACAATGACTAGGGATGATAGAAAGAGAATAGATGCTTGGAGCTGTGGTGCTGGAGAAGAGTTCTGAATATACCATGGACTGCTAGGATAACAAATAGGTTCATATTAAAGAGGGTGAAACCAGACTGTTCCTTGGAGGCAAGGATTCTTAGGCTTCATCTGACACTTTGAGCATGTTGCAAGGAGGGACATCATGCTTGAAAGGGTGGAGGGACAGCACAAGAGAGGAAGACCTTTGATGAGATGGATTGATTCAGTGACTGGTGTAATGACAGTAGGTGTGTTAGAGAGTATAAGGTTGGCACAGGATAGAGCAGGTTTCAGGGTGGTTTTTTGTTTTGTTTTTTTTCTTTCTATATTTTATTAATTTTCATAAACATTTACAGAGATTTTGGGTTTCCATTCATTC